TCTGGTATTTTAGATTTAACCAAAATGTCGTTTACTCGAAAAATCACGGAATCACCTCCTAATAATATGTTCTAACTGAATAAGCGTTATTATAACTTACGTTATTAAAGTAAGTATTACCGTAGCTGCAGGTCACCATCTGGTGCAGGTACACATGTGAGTTAAGCTTTTGATCCTATTTAGTGAAACAAAATATAATTATAAAAAAAAAAAAAAAAAAAAAAAAAAGTAAAAATGAACAAATTTTACCTCTTTCTACTTATATCACTTATCAGATTCAGAACATTACTTTTGTTCCTAATTTTTTGTTATTTTATTATAACAGATTTGACAAAGATTACATGAATGATTGAGGAATTGATGATTTTATTTTACTGTTTAAATACCGCTATTCAATCTAAGTAAATAATTATTAAAAAAGGAAAAGAAAAAAAACATACCTATGAAGCTAATGTCCGTAATCAAGAGGGAAGCATTTGAAAAAAGTAAACTAAAATAAGGTAATATTTGAATCATGTTATAAAATTCTTTATCTTTTAAAATACTTGAAACTTGTTTCGATGTTGATGATTTAGTATTAAAAAAAATGGTATACATCAGACATCAAAACAATCCAATATAAAAGATATACATATTTTATATGGGATATATTGTTCTTAGTTTTTCCACACCTGGAAATAAATGTTATATTAATTTAACAGTAATATTTGATTGTTGAAAATTTATTTTTCAAAAAAAAGAGGAGAAAAGTAAAAGAAATTATAATTATACTACTCAAAGAATTGAACTGGTCCAAACCCGTGTGAGGACTGGATAAACAATATCGGCCTTCACATTGAGAAAATCAATTATCAGTTTTCTCTTTTCTTCATGTAACACTTAAACTGCAAAACAACGAAGAATCGATCATTAACTTCATGTTTAACAAATGAATGATACTACTAATAAAAAAGTATAGGAAACATATGTATAATGTATATTGGGATGAATTTGATTCAACACTTACAACAATAAACCCCCAAAGAAAGAAATCCGGAATCCACCTACCCACGTTGTACTTTTGAATGGTCATCTCATCTCGCACGTTATCCGTAAATATTCAGGTGTCTTAGGCACTTTGACAAATGGACTATAAAAACCTGAATGTTATAAATTTCATAGGTTAGACATCAATATTTGTAACCAATCAGCTAAGACGCAAAAATTATGAATGAAATTATAAGATAATTAGTCAAAGCTTATACATACTGTTAGGTCTTCAGTAATCATTTTCTTCATGATGTTTCCCAATTGCAAATAGCTAAAAAAAAGACAATAATGCCCTTTTTCTCATTTTCATACCATTCAACTCGGAATCCATAAAAAGGAAAAGAGTTGATGGGAGTTTAATTGGGTTCATATGCTTACATTAGGTAGCAAATGCGAGATCAAAATAGCACAATAATGAAATCAAAGGAATTCCAACATTTAGATGAAAGAAAACCCTAGCTTAAGTAGTGTTGTAACAGTTTAATTCGGTAGAGCATACAAAGCCTGGAAGCAGAAAACTGCAACTAATCTCTTCAACACGGGTTCCACCAGAAACCTTAAACAAAAGATATCTATAGACCATTCTTGAGTATATGTATTTGTTATCTTTTGGATGTTTTTAGCAGGTCGAAGAAAAACATAAATACCAATTTTATATGAAATTGAAATTGTTGGCGGAGGTCCTCCCTGTCTCGTAGCTTCGGATTTCCCCTAACCCCAATCATCACAATAGATCTCCCCCAAAATAGTTGAAGAAGACTTCCAAAAGTCATTCTGAAAAAAAAAAAAAAAAAAACAACCCCATGATTATATATATTTGTTAGCTACATGGGGGTAGGATGCACCAGGTTTTACTCTCAAAGTCAACCAATTAAAGCAACTCAAATGAATCATAGTAGAAACTATGAATATACACAAAATTAACCCAAAATCCCCCAAACAACATGTCTTCACAGTGATAATGACGAAGTAGAAACCCCATACAAAATTCCAAAATTACCCACATATTTGTAACCGAAATCCCCCAAAAATACGAAGGAATTACAGAAAAATGAAGAGAAGCCAGATAAAGAACGTCATGAGAAGCTTACTGAAATGTAACCTGAAGGGCACCAAATGTGACAGTGGTGATGGGGGTACCGACCTTACCGCATCCCTGAAAATGGAATTCCAAAGTGAAATTTATTTAAAATAACTTAGAAAATCAAGAAACGAAACCATTTCCTATAGATTTTGGAGAAAATTACTACTCTAATTCGATTTCAGATAATTAGAAGCGGAACTTACCAAGGCGACACAGACTATTGCGGTGGTGGTGAGCCGCTTCTATGGTGCTCCGGTGGGGGTCTCGATCTTAACAGGTAATACGACAAAGTGGAGGAGGAGAGGGGCGATAGTGTTGGTCGGCATAGTTTAGGGTAGTAGGGGTGGCCGTTCGTCGATGGTGGTGACACTGTGGCGAAAGCGGTGGACAATTGAACAGCAACAAAGCAACGAATGACCTTATAAGGCTTGAACCGGTAGCATCGTCGGTGGTGAAGAGGACACACTCACAGAGGGTTGAGGAAGAATAAGATGAGGCGGTGGATGGGGTGGCCGTTCATCGATGGTGGTGACACTGTGGCGAAAGCGATGGACAATTGAACAACAACAAAGCAACGAATGACCTTATAAGGCTTGAACCGGAAGCATCATCGGTGGTGAAGAGGACACACTCACAGAGGGTTGAGGAAGAATAAGATGAGGCGGTGGATTGGATGGCTGTGGCGATGAACGTTATCCGAGAGGAGCAAAATCGATCGGTGGGGTGGGGTGGTTTTAGGGCTTCTAGACAATTTTGATGGGAGAAGAAAAGGTTGGATAAGAACAAAGAAATTGAAGGACCGATATTCCTTCCCATGGTCGAGAAGCGAACCCGAATACCCTAGTTAGTACCTTGGTTAGATAATATTCCTAAGAAGTGCTCCCTTTAATATATACATGATTTTTCCATAAGAACAGAATGACAAATAAATAAGAACATGAGAGAAACCATTTCTTCAGAAGATACAGATACATCCTTATTGATCCTTTTAGATGTCTGTGGAACAAATTCCATCAAAAGAGCAGCAAATAGCAATAGATCTGATAACAAAAAAGGCATAAAGAACTTGTATAAGAGATAGATTAATGATTAATGACTAATGATTAATCTTACAGGGTCCCACCCAGGCCATTGCTGTAGCAAACAATGAACCAAAAAGTTGACCAAAAGTAGCACCAGCACCTATAAATCCAAACAGTCTTGAACCTGACTGAATACAAGATGGAGTTAAAACTTAAAACATGAACAAAGTCACAAACGCAAAGTAAACAGATACAATGCAAACACATTACACACCTCATTGTCCCACTGCTAGAAAACATGGTGTTTTCCTACAGAAAATAGCTACGGAAAATTTCCGTAGCTAATTAGCTACGGAATTGCTACGGATCAGCTACAGAATATGATGCCCTAGTTTAGTAAATGAATAGCTACAGAATAGCTACGTAATAGCTACGGATGCGGGTTCGTAGCTATTCCGTAGCTAACTAGCTACATAATAGCTACGGAATAGCTACAAATGCAAAATCTGTAGCTATTCCGTAGTTAATTAGCTACGGAATGGCTACGGAATACCTACGGATACTAATTATCTACGGATTAGCTACGGAGTATGCTTTCCGTTAGAATTCCGTAGCTAATCGGTAGCTAAGTAGCTACGGATTTTTCTTATTTTCAATTTTTCGGGCACCAAACGTTGCTTTTTTCGCTTCATTTTTTTTTGTTTCTCTACTATACATAATTATCTTTATTTTCACCAACTTGTAGCTATTAATATCGTTCATAAAGTCGTGTGCCCCTTCGGTATCAAGTACTCGTTTCACAGTTTAACATTGTAATGCATATACTTTTCACCAACTTGTGATGGATTATGTTTGTATATGTATATATTTATATACATGAATGAGTTGTGGTATATATGTACGTGTATACGTGTATGTATATGTGTTTGCGAAATGTATGTGTACGTATTCACAAGCATTATAGTGTTAAACCATTAAACGAGCAATGGATCCCTTATGTGCACACGACTTTATAAATGATATTAATAGCTATAAATTGGTGAAAATATAGATAATCATATATAATAGAGGTGTGAAAAATGGAGCGAAAAAAATGAAGTTTGGTGCCCGAAAAATCAAAAATAAGAAAAAACTGTAGCTAATCCGTAGCTAATTAGCTACGGATTAGCTACAATTTTTTTTTTTCGATTTTTTGGGCACCAAACGTCGTTTTTTTCACACCTCTACTATACATGATTATCTATATTTTCACCAACTTGTAGCTATTAATATCGTTCATAAAGTCATGTGCCCTTCGGGATCAAGTATTCGTTTCACAGTTTAACATTGTAATGCCTATACTTTTCACCAACTTGTGATGGATTATGTTTGTATATCGTATTTATATACATGAATAAGTTGTGGTATATGTGTACGTGTATATGTGTATGTATACGTGTTTGTGAGATGTATGTGTACGTATTCATAAGCATTATAGTGTTAAACCATTAAACGAGCAATGGATCCCGTATGTGCACACAACTTTATAAATGATATTAATAGTTATAAATTGGTGGAAATATAGATAATCATGTATAATAGAGGTGTGAAAAAAACGGAGCGAAAAAAACGACGTTTTGTGCCCAAAAAATCGAAAATAAGAAAAATCCGTAGCTAATCCATAGCTAATTACCTACGGATTAGCTACAGAATAAGCTTTCCGTTAGAAATCCGTAGCTAATTAGCTACGGATTAGCTACGGATTTTTCTTATTTTCGATTTTTCGGGCACAAAACGTCGTTTTTTTCGCTCCGTTTTTTTCACACCTCTATTATACATGATTATCTATATTTCCACTAATTTATATCTATTAATATCATTTATAAAGTCGTGTGGACATACGGGATCCATTGCTTGTTTAATGGTTTAACACTATAATGCTTATGAATACGTACACATATATCTCACAAACACGTATACGTACATCATCATCATCATCATCACCACCATCACCATCACACCATCATCACCATCATCATCACCATCAACATCATCATCATCATCATCATTACCACCATCACCATCATCATCACCATCATCACTACCATCACCACCACCACCATCATACCACCATCATCATCACCATCACCATCACCATCACCACTACCACCACCACCACCATCACCATCACCACCACCTTCATCACACCACCACCACCATTACCATCACCACCATCACCATCACTACCACCACCACCATCACCATCACCATCATAATCACCGTCACCATCACTACCATCACTACCACCACCATCATCATCACCACCACCATCATCATCACCACCATCACCATCACACCACCATCACTACCATCACCATCACCATCACCGTCACCATCACTACCATCACCACCACCACCATCACACCACCATCATCATCACCACCACCACCATCCTCACCACCACCATCACCATCACACCACCATCATCATCACCATCACCATCACACTATGAATAGTCATCGTTATCATCATAATCATCATCCTCATCGTTATCATTTATGCATCAGTTTGTTGTTTATGTTTTGTTTTAAGTTTAATCAGGATTACACTTAAATGGGGGAGGTTTGTTGGTGATTTTATATCATCAATATTATTTAAGTTTAATATGATTAAAATTGTTAACCAAAAGTGATCTTGTTGAATAGTGAACAAGTTAGGATGGTGTAGGAGTGCACACTTGTTCAAGTTTTTCAGGATTCAAAGTACATTGTTATTTAGGGGAGAAGCCCCTAAACGAACGGGGGTCCGGGGGCAGCGCCCCTGGCGGGGTCCAAGGGGCAGAGCCCCTGGCTGGGATCGAGCTGACAGGTCAGCCCGAAATTTTTTTATTTGGACTATGTTGCTATATTAAAAAAAGCATCAAAAATCCAATTTTAGAAAGTTGAACCTTTTTAGAAAGTTAAATGTTCGTGTCTTAAATATGTAAGAAAATTTATCCAAAAAAAAAAAATCAAGACTTGAATAATAATAATAATAATAATAATAATAATAATAAAGGAAATGAAAGGAATTCGGTATTGTATTAATACATATATCGATCCTTAGTAAACGGATGTGGCATGCCCGGCCGGATGGTATTATCTTGAACGTTGCATGCTTTGTCCCCGAGTTCGAATCTCCTGCCCATTTTTTTTTATTTCGTTTTTGTCGCTTGCCATTACATATTCCACATTAGGTTTTTTTTTTCTAAAAAGAAACGATCGATTCTGTTTCCTTCTTCCTCCCTTATCTGTCTTTTGTGAACGCTCCCCAAAAAAACCCTCGCGTTCATTACTTCTCCGGCGGTCGTCCCCTTCTCCGCTCCGTCGCATCCTCCGTCGAACCCTCTTTGTTCGATTTCTTCTCCCACATAAAACCCTAGATTTTTCTAACAGATTTTCATTACAGGTGAAGCCCGATTTCTTCTCCACTCTCTCTCTCTCTCTCTCTCTCTCTCTCTCTCTCTCCGGACCACCATTTCCACCACCAAGATCGATTTGCCGATGTAACATCGATTTGCAGGCGAAGCATCAAGCTCGATTTGCAGGTCAAACATCGATATGCAGGTGAAGCAAGTCGACCACCATTGCAGCTCTCAAAGATCGATTTTCAGGTGAAAAATACAATTCTTTTTCATATTTTCTTTAGTTTTTGTTCCAATTATTATCAGACTGCATTGATTTTGCCATTATTTTAAGGGTTTCTCTTGAGCTTTGGATTTTCAATTTTTGATAATTGAAATTTTGGGCGTAATAGTGGCTGATTTGGAGTTAGGGATGATTTTTGAGGATATGATATTCACTTTCTTAATTTCCCACAGGTGATTGGTTCACTCTTTGCTGGAGATAGTTTATGCCTCATGTCATCAATGTTGTGGGATTCTATAAACAAAAAAAAACCCCAATGATAATAAGTTGCTATTTCTTGCATTTGCAGAAGGAATTTAACTGCACATCACAAAGTTAAGTACCTAATGGAAAGGTAAAAAGTGGCTCATTTTTGCACGTTTATTTCAGAATTCAAGGATGCTTCCAATTTTAAAGAGAAAATGCAGTCGTAATCTAGAATATTACCTGGTTTTGGTTGAACTAAACATGATCAGATTGAATCATATATGCTTTTTGCTGCTCAAAAGTAATATTTGAGTGTGTGTGTCTAATCAGATATGTATGTGTTTATGTATATGTCATCTGATTTGTATGTGTATGTCTTAGACTTATTATGGTTGTTTCCAATTGCAGGATCAAGTTACATACAAATTTGAGTGAAGAGGTCCATGTTATTAAATCAAGATGACAACGTTATCCGAGAGGAGCAAAATCGATCGGTGGGGTGGGGGTGGTTTTAGGGCTTCTAGACAATTTTGATGGGAGAAGAAAAGGTTGGATAAGAACAAAGAAATCGAAGGACCGATATTCGTTACCATGGTCGAGGAGCGAACCCGATGAACAGTACCCTAGTTAGTAACTTGGTTAGATACTATTTCTAAGAAGTGCTCCCCTTTAATATATATATATATATATATATATATATATATATATATATATATATATATATATAAAAGAATGAGATAAAATAGATTAAAAATGGAAAACACTGACAAAAAGAAACCACAGAAACATACAAATAAGTTTCATATTTTACTTGCTTCATCCGTACTTACGATGTATTGAAAGCAATGCAACTTAACTAGCTAGGGTCCTAGGGATAAACTTCAATGAGAGATCTTAACCCCAAAATTGGAGTTATCTTGTAATCGCTAAAGCCAGCGTCCACAAAAAGCTTTGCCCATTCTTTTTCACTCCTCTTTCTTCCTGTCACCAAGGTCATCATAAGCATATCAAAGAAAAGCTGAGTCTCGAGTAATTCCTTGTCCCCTTCACCGTTCTTCAACACCATGTCTATGATGATTACTTTTCCTCCATTTTCCTTGTTGGGGATTGCCTCTTTGCATTGAATCAATATCTTTACGCATTCTTCATCACTCCAATCATGTAATATCCACTATTTTATCAAAGCGCAAAAACAATTATTGTACATACACCTTCGGTCTAGCTTGTAATGAAATTATCGGTACATCCTTCAACCAACT